GACGTAGAGCCAGCCTGTAATTCCTCAAGGCTGAAAGTAGCCCATACATTCTCTATTCTTTTTTAGTATACCTGAGTGCAGACCAGGGAAGTTTTCATTGAAAAATTTTTTCTGCTGCAGTGCTTGCTCCATGCCTGTTATTACCAACAGCAATTATGCCTTCCTAAAAGGTGGTTAGTAATGCAAGGCAGGGAGATAATTACAGGATTTTGGTTGTACTGAATCTGGTCCTCAAGAGACTCTGATGATACAGTCTTTGTCATTCTAGACAGAATTTCTTTACTCTGCTTTCTTCCTTGAGTAGTTTAGAGTATCAGCTAGCTTAGGAGAAAAAAATCTGGAGGTTGACTTTCAGTTTTATTTAATGACTTCATTGTATATCTGTAGTCCAATTATGGACAGATGGGGAAATAATCATATAGCTTAATATGCATGTAATTATACATTTTTGACTTTTTAAACACAGAAAATAATGCCAAATGCATATAGAGCTAACAATCTTGATTGTTTCTTTTGTAGCTCTTGCACCCAAATAATGATATTATTATTTAGCAAAAGTGGAACTTCAACTTTATTGGGCTCTGAACGTAAACACAAAGTAGACAGAAATATTGCAGACCACAGACATAACCATACAGAGGCATTTACACTTGCACTTTCTTTAAAATGAAACCTGCAGCTTTTTCCATATCAATTCTTGATGCCCAAGACACGTTTCTAAGAGAGTGGCTTTTTTTTTTTTCTTCTGGAAAATAGGTGGGAGACATAAATAGATGGATATGGACCCTTCTTCAAGAAAAGCTGGAGAATGAGATTATTTGTTTCATGGAGGTTTTTAGTCAGGCATAATGTTACTGCTCTAGAGACATTCTATGTAACCATGGATGTCTTTTCACCTGTTCCAAAACTGGTGAAACACTTGAACACCTAGTTCAAATGAGAAAGTTATGTGTTGTATTTTTCTGAAGTTGACATGATAAACATCATAGCAGGAATCCAAAATTGGATTAGCGTTCTCTTAGCATCCCAGTCAGGATCTAATCCCTAGAGGTTTTTCTATTGCCATTCCAATTTAAAGGTTATTCATTTTGAAATGATGTCACTTTCCAGAGAGATATAGATTGGTAGTTAAAGATATACTGTCAAAAAAGGTGGATAGTGGTGTTCATCTAGTGGCACAAAGGAAATAAATCTAGCATTCCCAAACAGAAATGAAAAAGAGTATGCATATCCCATATTGTGTGTCTCTATATCCCAATAAAATGTCATTTGAAATGAACACATAATTGACAGTGTCTAGAAAAATGTTCTGGTGAATTGAGTGAGCTAGCACTTTTCTTTGAAAAGCCTATGATAAAGGAATACTCACGCGAGAGGTTATTGACCAAGCACTTTATGCAGATTATTTGTGTCCCTTGCCATCAAGATATAAAGTCTATCTTACAGTGAGCAGAATACATTTGACATTTTGTCCTTGTCAGAAAGATAAAACAAGGATTAGTTGTGGAATGATATAGTAGCTTGGAAGATAATGAGTAGGAAATAATTTTCAGCAAAAGATATTACAATTTACTGCTCCTGTACAAACCTTATCAGCTCAATTTCCATTTATCACAGCTTGTGCAAGATAACCATAATGACTTGACAATTATTTTTATGTGATGATGTTGGATCTATCTTGCTTTTGACTATATGAAATGACCTATACATTCCAATTTGATGAATCTTCTCTTGGGAAGTAACAAGCAGCGAAGTTCTGAGAATGTTTTTGTCACCTGCTGAAAGCCTTTCCTGTATGCCATGCAGAGCTCTTGCTTTCTTTCCAGAGGTGCTGAAGCACGTTAGCTAGCTGATGGTTCAGCTGTGTCTGAGCTGAGGTGACGCCTGATTTTAATCATGCTTTGGGTGATTGCACTTGTGGACTTTCAGTAAACAGAAACGGATTATGTATTCACTGGGGAAAAGGTGTTTAACTGATGTTTCACAAGTTATGTAATTATAAAGTGAAGAGATGGTAATCTAAGTGAGATTCTCTCACTTAAAAAGAAAAAAAACACAGTAATGATAACGTCTTTATCTTTCATGGAAGAGTTTTCTGAGAAAACGCTGTGAATGTTTCTGTGAAACAAGTCTAAAATGCAGGAACCAATCTAGCAGTGGGAATAGAGCTTGTTTGTACTAGGTGGTGCCCTATTGACCCTGGGCATGTTGTCTCAATGGAATATGTGATGTGCATCAAAATGATTGTCTTGCTTTCCATCTCAGAAGTAATTTGAGCATAGAAGCTTTCAGATGCATATGTCAAGAGTACTACAACACATTACCTAAAAATACAGAAACAATGTTTTTTTGCTTTTTTTAGCAGGAGCTTTGTAACTGTCAAATGAGTGGGCAATCAATAGCAGATATGTGGGGTTATTTCCCCTTTGGTAACGTTGGCTTTAAAGACATTGATTTATTCTTGCTGGGGAGAAATCTAGGAGTTTTGTCAGGAAAAACAATTTCAAATTAACATGAAGGAATACGGACCTTTTTTGATTAATTTCTTATGTGTGATTTTTGTTTTAATCAGTAGAAAAGGAATAGATACTTCTCTATATTCAGACCATTAACTTTTTTTTTTTTAACTTGGAGTTAAATATAGTGATCTGTTCAGTTGACACAAACTAGCAGCATTCAAAAAAGTCCATTTTCCTGATCAACATTCCAACTTCCTGAACTTTTCAGTTTGGATCTAAGGTATTATCAAGGTATTATCAGAGTACACAAATAACACAGTTCCTGAAATTCTAAGAATTGTCCTGAGTTTTTGCAGAAGATCAGATGCAACACCTGTGACTACATCGTTAAAGCTGCTGTTAGCTTCTATGCAGTGTTAATTTCTACTAACTACAGCATTCTTTTATTGTTTCACTCAGAGCTTATACTTTTCTCTCAATTCCCATATTCCTTCTCTTGTAAACTTGCTTGTCAATCTCCATATGATTGTGCTTGTTGTTGTCTAGATTTCACTGTGATAAAATCTTTCCCCACATCAGTACCACTGGTATTTTCATTCCTACAAATCCCTATTCTGTGATTTCTGAAAATTCCAGCTCTCTAGACTCTGGTACATGTGGAAAAACTCCAGTCTTTCATTTCTCAGCTGCCTCAAAGCAATTCGAGAACTACCTTACCCTGTTGAAATGTCTCCCAGCCATTAAAGTCTTCAGAAGAGCAGAGGTTTGTCCTCTTGGCAGAAACCTGGAAGACCGACTCATACTGTTACTTTGCTATAGTTCCCATGCCTCACAGTGAGTGAGTCAAGAACTGCCACCTGCTTTAAAAGATGTGCAGTCACTGCTTTGTCTTGCACACCCTTAGGTTTTCATGTTGACAATGTTATCAGCAAATTAGCATTTGCCAGAATGATGTCTGACATATTATTTAGTTAACAATTTGGTCAGAACCCAACCTATGTTAAAGCTAAAATAACCCAGAGAGGTTTTGAGACTAAGGAGTAGACTTTAAGCTCTCAGCAAGGTGCAAAGAACAGCAAATCTATTTATTTTATGCTACTCTTGCTAAAGGCAAATTATTCCAATCTACAGAAGCAATTTCATGAGAAGATAATTGACAGGAACAGAGAAATCTGGACAAGCATCAAACACACGCAGAGTCTGAGACAGGAGACAGGTTTCCCAGTGGATACAAGGGTGAGTAAGCAGTCAGGCTGAACAGGATGAAGAAGCCTTGGAAAAAGGAATGCTTATTTTTTGGTGTGTTTTTTTGTTTTGTTTTGTCTTGTTTTTTCCATCTTTTTTTTTTTTTTTTTTTTTCATCAAATAAAAGACATCAAGAGGCTCCTAATTCACCCGAAGGGTCATAGAATCTTAGAATCTCCAAAGTTGGAAAAGACCTCCAAGACCATCCAGTCCAACTGTCCACCTACCACTGGTATTTCCCCACTAAACCATGTCTCTTAGTACAACATTTTAGTGTTTCTTGAACACCTCCAGGGACAGTGACTCCACCAACTCCCTGGGCAGTCCATTCCTGTGCCTGACCACTCTTCTGAGAATAAATTTTCCCTAAATTCCAACCTGAATCTCTCCTGGAGCAACTTGAGGACATTTCCTCTAGCTCTATTGTTAGTTATGCAGCAGAAGAGGCTGACCCCAACCTTGCCACATACCCTTGAGCATCCTCTCTTTTTTTTCCCCAATTCATTAAAAAAAAAATCTTCACTTACAAATTATTTACTGAAGTCTCCATCTTTCTATCACTGTGAATAATTTACATTGCCTACATTTGAAACAGCTCTTGGTAACTGTGGAAAAAAAAATCCATATTGCTGTCCCGAGATTGCATTTATACAGATAAATCTGTTGACTGTATGCAATCTAAAATCTATTTCTATGTTGATTACAGATTGTGTGATAAATTTTATACAATATTAAATTATACTGTACTAATGTTAGGATTGACTATCTCAAGATCTCTGTTTTACTGTACTAGCATTTATACTGATGTATCCAGTATCCTTCCCAAATCATAAAGCCCATGAACAGAAAAAAAATATATTCATCAAATTATTTTTTCCTTGTTGAAGAAGTCATAATAATATTTTTTTCAAAGTATTTTGGTGTGTTAGCAGTATGAATACTGCTGCTACCAGAGTGTCATTAACAGAAAACACTGCTTGAAAGCTACTTTTCCAGGATCTCTATTTAGAGCCATTATCTCATCTCATGTAGATGCAATCTGTCTTTATCCAGACAGAAGGTCACGTAGAGAAGGGGCATGCTTAATGGTCCTGGGCTTTTTCCACTTCGTTGTGTTTTCTCCATTAAATAAAGCAGTAGCATAAATATGCATTTCTCTTGAAGAAGTATAAGAAATACTGTAGTTGGGCTGGATTAGCTTACATGTTCCTTTGCTCTCGACTCAACAGAACTTTGAACTATTTCTTACAGATATTTACTGGAGAAGAGAAACTTCCAGATGGACTACAATTACTAGAATTGAGCAGATGATTTTGTAACAGAATTAGAACTGATTGGATTTACCTCTGCAATTTCAAGAGCATTCTGAGAAATATTCTGATTTAATCTAGAGTGTTTCCTACATACTGATGAGAAGATAACTTACATCTTCAGAAAAGGGCCTTTCATTCAACTTAATGTTGATTGCATGGAAAATGCAATGGAATATATGTAAATGACACAGCAATTGCATATAAACCAATCTGAATGAGGGTTATGCCTGTTTATTTGGAACCTGCTGTTCCTTTCCTCTGAACTTCGTACATCAGCAGTCTAGAGAGGGAGCAAATCTGATTTTTAGGTTACTGTATGTCTGTATTATAACTTCAACCTAGAATCTCACAGAGGAATCAGGGAAACCTCAATGTGTTCTGATTTATATTCACTTGCAGATTTCCCTGATGAAAAATAGCTGGAGAGCAGCAGGACTGGGCTGAGCTTCAGCCTTTCCCCAGCACTCATCCTGAGCTCCAGGCTGTGTTTGAGGCCACCTTGCTGGATGTGCTACAGCGTGGGAGGATTCGCAAAACTTCAGGCTGTTTTCAGGTTGAGGCTGCTGTCACCAGAGCTAGGGACAAATAAGATACCATATCCAATCAAAATACTGGACTGTCTTGTACAATATCCTGGGGCTAGTAACAGATGCTTCAGGGAAAAATATTTTTAATATCAGTGGTAGGTAAATGTGGAATAAAGTAGTGTTTGAGAAGTTTTTTCTCACCTAGTTGTGGAAAATGATACAACTTTTGTGATTATTTTGTGTGATGTTTTGAGAAATTGCATGTATGTAAGCACAGCTGATTAACTGTGATGTTAATATTTCCTCGCACATGCTATGCTGAGGGAGGCTAATAAGGGCAACCTGTAAGAGGAAAATGGCACAGGAAAGGCTGCCATAGGGAACACCATGAGTTCTTAATGAAGCTGTCACTGAGAAATAAGCCCTCATCTGAGAAAATTCAGATGGCTACGCTCACTCTTCCTTGTTAGAACTGAGGATCAGCTTGTCTATTGAAAAATCATGATTTCAGTGGATTGGAAGAGAGCTTGATGGAGAACCTTGTCAGTGATGTTTACAAGTGAATTTAACATGGAGAAAAATACCTGATACGTCACAAAAAATTGAGATGTTTCTTTCAGATTTATAGGAGCAGCTGGCTATGGAAACGTTTGTGATCTCCACAGTTTGGAGGGAGCTGCTGAAGCTTTCAGGTGGTATCGATATTGTGAAATGCTTGCAAGTTAAATGTAGCTATGTTTCAGCCACAATCTCTTGTGTTTGTCTTTTGAGACTGCGACAGAAGCTCTGTGGAAGCAGTAGCATAATACAGCAAGTTTCTAATCTGGTTCAAATAAAGCAGAAAGGCTTTCTTTGATAGTAAGGCATGGTAAATGTCTAGAAGTAGACACATTAACAAAATGAAGATGATGTGTTTTCCTGGTTACTAAATGACATATGTATGATGTTCCAATTTTACTGGTACAAACAAATTCAATGTTCAGGCTATTTGCAGCTATATATATATAAACCTGCGTTGGTCAAAGCTGGAAGCAAGACCCCATTTCAAGCCTTAGAATATAATACCTTCTCCATCTGTTTTCCTGTCAATGTATTTTCATCCTTCACAAAGTAAACCCATGACCAGTGCACACAAATTATAATAATAGAAGCGATATCTTAAGTAAAAAACCTTCCACAGAAATGGATTTCACAACATTGTTTTTGGCTTTCTGTGAGCAGAACTCTGTCCTAGTGTGGTCTTGCCTACTGGTTTCACATGGTTGTGGTGTAGGATGTATCATCACACCATGCCACCAGGTGCTTAACGTGCCTTGAACTCCACTAGCTGCCCTCTACAGACAGGAACTTTCTGTTTGCATTTGTGTTGCAGCTTGAACTGTTAACTGAATCTAGTTTGCATCTGACGACAGCAGAAGATGTGTTTAGTGCAGATGTGGGCATATTGTCCACCCCCTCAGAGCTCTCCCCCAGCATGTCTGGGTAGCCATGAGACAAGGACCCAGATGAATGGGATTTCAACAGTACACAAACCTGAGGGTCCAGACACATACTTGATGTAACCCACGCTGAAATACCGGCTGCTGCTTCTCCCTTCTTGTCACTTCTTCTACCTAGAAGGGTAAAGAGGCTAGTCCCTGCCCACCTATTAACTTGCTCAGTTACACACCTATCTTTTCCTGGGGTGGCAGAGATGTGCTATCTGGAGCAAGCAAGCAAGCAGCAAACATTTGTCTTTTGTCATGAGCATTAATGGTTGTGACTCTGAAAGTGAGATGCTTTTCAAGACCTCGTTCATGCAATCTCAGCCCACTTGCTTACTATTCTGCTGTTACACTCTAATTAAAAATTCTGTAAAGGTTGGTTCTTAAACCAACAAATTAAACAATTGTTTAACATATGCCTCAATCACATAACACAATACCTTGGAGAAATGGAAGCGCTGATTATTGAAGCAGGGAAAAAAAGTACAATTGGCACTAGATGGTGTACTGTGAGTCAGCTCACAGCAAATCTGAATGTCTAAATTCATGTCTAAAGATGATCACCCACCAAAACCCCAAATAAAACTGATGCAAATTGACTACAGGGATGTGAACTGTACCCACGGTAATTATATTACGAAGTACATCCTCAATTAGCTGTGGGTAGTTTGTTGTCAAACAGGGTTTGGGCTTTAATTGTATTTTTCTGGGCTTTATTTTATTTGAACAGAAATGCTTTATGTTCTTTGTGTCTGGTATCCATTCAGTTCTCAGAGTAGGCTGGAGTAGGATTCACTATAAGAGAATATTCAGTTGCTGTGTGTCTTGAATATATTTATATATGTAAAATTACACTAATAGATTACGAAAGATCAAGACAAACAAATGTTTCCTTTCAGGATATCAACACGACTTGACATCACGAACAGATTTTCAACATAATATGTTAAAAAGTGTCTTTTAAGCATGTTACTGCTATTCAATTATGTCAAAGCAGCCAAAAACCTCACTGAGAGGAAAACTATCTAATCAAGCCAAAGAGTATGCTCCTTATGAGTTTTCTCTGCTTTTCCCTTCACAAAAATATCACAAGAATATCAGTGTCACCAGATGACTGAGAGTGAAAGTAATTTCCTGGGCATCTTTCTGAGGCTTTCAGAGGGCTAAAGTTTAATAATGTGTAGATGCTATAAGGAGGCGACTGATAGAGTGTGAATCTGGAAAAGGACAGATCCATTTAAGCGTAAGAGGTTCCTGAAATCTAAAGTACCAGAGAATTTGAGTAGGTCAAGCTAGTCACCAGGACTGAGCAGCGTGCCTCCATATTCTAAAATATTTGCAGGGAAAATTGTTGTTCAATCTATACATTCATCGTTAAACAGCCTACTGTTAAGTACAAACTCTAAGCAGCTAGGTCAGACTATTCTAGCTGTACATTCACATCTAATTATTGTTGAGGAGTTGTAATGCCTGAGACATAAGTAGTCATTTTTGCTGCAAGCAGCAACCACAGCCTTATGAGAGGTGTTTTGGGTGGCCCCTTTCTCTTCCCCCTTCCCTTCGCCCTTCCATTTCTCCTTCCTTTTCCCTTTATCCTTCCTTTCTTTGTTTTCTTTTGTGACAAACTGTTGCACTGAACTTTCCTTTTATAATTTGTAGCTGATGACTGCAAATGAGCTGTGATTTATATATCATACCATAATATATCACATTACATAAATATCATTAATCAGGGTTGCCAAACTCACACCAAATTAGCTTGCACTTTGCACTCCCATCACATGTATAAGGGAAATTACTTCAAATGAGAAAGAAAGACTATAATCTGTGGCAAATGTGAGGAGGGGAACAAAAGCAGCCACATTCAGCAAATACATTCTATTTCCATGGTTCAGCTACTGCTGATTTACCTTGCAGCACCACAGTGAAAGATATTAACTTTGGCTCTAGCATTCAAATTTGTAGAAAACGTCCCCCAAAGTTGGGAAAGAATATTAAATTCCATAAAAAAAAAAAAAAAAAAGATCAGGAGCTTGGAATTAAATTTTGAAATATTTCTGAATTTTTAAAATGTGTTACTTCCCCCTGCATTGTATGAATGCGTCCAGGTGACACTGCTCAGCCTCTGGCACTGCTCAGGTCTCTCTGGCATTTTCAGTCTGGTGTCAAACCACTCCAGATCATTGCTTGGACTTCTTCTAAAAGAAAATCCAATCACAGTTTTGTTGTGCCTTTTTTTTTTTTTTTTTTTTAGTAGTACTGACAATTCAGGTAAAGGAAAATGCTCTATGACTCTTATAATATTGCTTACTGATATTAATACAATGCACTGACTTTCTTGGTCAGCAGCCCAGAAGGAATGAACAAGGTGGCATTTAAGTCCCATGAAGTGATTCTGCTCACAATGCACTTGGTGTGACTGAGACCCTCTTGCACAACAAGTACAAATTTGACATTTAAGCAGACTGCAAACATTGTCAAGATGAACAAACCTACTACTGTCAAATATCTTTATTTTTTCCCCACATCTAGTTTATAATCCTTGCCTGCAAGCCGCCTTTGTGTTTTGGTTCTCCTTCAGTCTGTGAGGCATGCAACCACTTTTCCATTTTCCACTCATCAAAATTCACTTCTAGATAGCTTCCAACTTTGATATATTTTTCTCCTCTTTGTTTATTGTCTCATCCTGAGTAACTGTGATAAAAGCAATATAAAGCCACACTGACAAAATATACTTACAACTGGAAAGCTACACTTATGTCTGCTACATGCTGCATTACGTTAATTTAGTTTGGAGAAGTTTATTTCCAAAGGCACATCAGTAATAGTTGGCCAATCCTCCTTGACCTTTTTCCTACCATTTTTTATCATCATTCATTGTTCTGGCAATGAATATTCCTTCTTTCAATAGTGGTGTATGATTAACAACAGATAATAACGCATGCAAGAAGTTGCATCCCTGCTTCCTTGAAGTACTCTCCAAAATGTCACTCATGCTTTTCCTAAAATGTCACCATCATTGCAATACTTAATGGCATTCTGGTATTTTTTGGCACCTTTAAGACTCGGATTGTCCACAAGCAATTTGAGTAAATCATAGACTTCAATTTTTTTACTGGTTATAACTCTTGAATGAAAAAAAAAATAAATGTGTTGCATGTTGCAACAAGCAATGACAGTGCTGAAGAGTTTGCAGATTTATGGCAGCTCCTTTTAGTGGTCATACATTATGCCAGAAAAATATGAGTACTAGAACCCCTGGCAATATTACAGCTCTACACGCAGGTACTTCCAAAATCCTGGGATGTTCACACTACCAGTGCCTCACCACAAGGGCAGCACAAGTCCCATGCCTGTTTACAAATAGCCCCCCACACATCACTGCATTGCACCCACACTGCTTCTGCCTCTACACCTCTCTTCACAAAGCAGGGTATGCCAGGAGCACTGCCTGCAGAGCAGCTACTCCACAGTGACAAAGTAGGATGGAGCTATGGCTATCAAGTCTGAAGACCAAAGAGTGAAGAAACAGCACACACAATTACTGACTAACAATTACTGCTATCAGTTCAAGGAAATAATATGCAGTGACATCTATGTCTCAGGACCCTTGTAAGGTCTCTTCTCACAGCACTTCCCAAAAACTGTACTTACAGGTATTTTAAATATAATAAGGCAAATGAAAGGGAATAGCATTAACAAAATTAAGACAAATCCACTGCATATATTACCATATTTAGTTTAGCATTTGGGATTATAAAGATTGCAAGAGTGTCAGCAGCGACTTTCTAAAACATTTTATTCATTTCATGGAATTCTGCTATCAAAATATCTATGCAGACGTAGGAAGTAGTTACAGCAGTATTAGCAGAGAGTTTTAAACAAAACTGTTCTACTGGAAAGCAATTGGATTGCACAGTGCTTATAGTATATTAATGAAAAAATGCTATGATATTCTCAATGCTTTAACTCTGTTTCTACATAAAGATGATCAATTGAAATAAAATATCATATCTGTACATGTTGAAACCCTCTTTTCTGTATGCATTCTGGGTCTCAGAAATAATTATGGTTCTGAAAATGATAGGGTAGCACTTGTTCACAGCTCTCCTCAGGACTTTTCTCAGGCTTTTATTCTCTCTATTGTCAGCTCTGTAGTTGACACCCTAAGTTTTCCTTTGCATTCAAGTTTAGTTTAGAGTCCAGACCACCCTGCTGATTTAAACAGACATAAGAATATAAAAGCTTGCACAGCCTTAATGTTTTTTACTTCTAAAGGGATTTATGGTTTTAAGTTTTTAATACATTACAACAGAAGCTATTGTATGAAAAAAAATTAAAAGAATGCTACTAGTATATTTTCTTGTTGTTTATTCAATTTGCCTTGCAAGGGACACATGAGAAATATGAAAAATGAAAAAGATGACAATAATTAATATCCATTGCTGAGCAGAGGAATAAATTTTGAAAGGCACTGTGGAACCAATATGGAAGAAGCACAGGGAACTATGCAAGATATAGATGTATACTCTTAGTTTAAATTAAACTATTTAGAAAGTTTTACAAAATTATATAATTTTATTTTTCCAGAGTGTATGAAGATCTGGCATTTGAAACTGATGGAAAAATTGAAGAGAAACTAAAAAGAAGTCAAATAAATACAGTGTGCAGAAGATAATAGTAAAGGCCTATAAGCTTGCAGAATTATTGCTGAACTAGTGTAAGCCTTGGAAAAAAAGTAAGTAACCTGATTTCATCACAGATTGGATGAGGACAGAACATTATGCCCTAGTAACAGTGAAGAACAACAATTTTCTATCTAATCCCACCACCCTGGCCTGTCTTTTAATGAAGGAGTAGAAAATCCAAGTAAATAAAATAAAAGGTCGACAGACACTGCTTTTTTTTTTTTTTTTTTTTTTTAAATGTTTGACTGTACTATTCACTATAATGATTAATGGGCTGAAGTCACTAATAGGAGAAAGTACTTTCACATCTTCAGAGACCGTACGTTAAAGGGTTGTTAGGTAAGTGATTTAGAAATCATTAACAATGCATTGATCAGGGCTGCAGACAGTGCTTAATTAAGAGAATGCTTAGAAACAGAGCATCATTTAGAATTCTAAGAA